CATCCCGAAAAGCTAGCTTACCGCGTCCAGCGACTGGGAGAGCTTCGAGGCAGTCAGCCGCCAGCTGGTGAGCTCGCGGGTCGAGCGGGCGGGCGTACGAGGAGGCACAAACATTGGATCCGACTCTAAAGAAACGCTCATCGCCTTCGACGAGGCCGGGGCATCATGGACTGGAGTAGTGGCTCGCGTGGCCTTGGATCTCTCGGCGGTCCCTAGATACTCTGGTGTGTCGGAATCCGTGGGAGCCCCATCATTGGCAGTCGAGGCCGGCTCAGAGGAATAGTGAGCCTGAAGGGCCAAAGAGGGCCCCAGGGACCACGTCGATCTCACCGTAGGAGATCTGACCAAGCGTCGTCGGTGCACATGCAGGGACGAGGCTTCCCCCTCAATAGAGTTTGCTCGGGGCCTCCGGCGTAGTGTTTGAACAGGTGTCCTCCATGGGGCCCAAAGAAATCTCGCTGGGGGCAGACGGCCATCAAGGACGTAATCCTCCCAGACCTCTTTGATCCGATTCCGAAAGCCTGCAAAGACAAGATTCACAGGTAAAGACCAAGGGACCAGCGCAAAGCCAAGGACGGAAGAGTCAGGGTCATTACCTAGGATGTCCGGGGTCAGGTCAGACGGGAGGACGAGCGAGCTCGCCTGGATGCTCGGCGGAAAGAGCAGGAAGTCAAACGACCGGAATCGCTCGGAGATCCCGAGCAAGCGGTGCAGATCGACTCGCTCGGAAGCAGCCGGCTTCCCGGAGCCTAGAAAAAGAGAAGACGAAATGACAGTAAGAAGATGGCCAGCAGATCGAACCTAAGGAAAGAAGGACAGCGGTAGCAGGAGAATCTTACACCTCGACATCCAGGTCAAGGGGACGTTGACTTCCGGCGGCACCGTCCAGAAAATGTACCGCTCCCTCCAGTCACGGCTTCCGTAGCGGTCACCCAGGATGGGGGTAGTGCACCTGTCCCAAGTGTGCAGGATGTAGCGGAGAGCATCGGCGGTAAGGCTCCAGAGCTGGTAAGATAACAGCACCGTGGAGCCGCATAACCGGATCCCGAATAAGTTCGAAAAGACTTGGAAAGCGCAGAAGAGCCCCCAGGCGGAATGGTGGAGTTGACTGGGGCAGATACCGGTAAACCGGCAAAAATCGACCACAATCCGAGGGAGGCTATCCCGGAAGCCATAGAGGAAGTAGTCGTCGTGGATCGCGATGCAGCGCCGCGGAGGCCGGTTTGCCCGATCCCACTCACCGGGGAAGATAGGGCTGAGCCCGGAGTAGTAAGGGAAGTTTGCCAAATGGACTCTTTCTAGAGAGTCCGGCGTACAGGTAGAAGGAGGGCGATCCGCGAGGTTGGACGCTGCTAGTGCCCCGAAAATTTCCTCGGCCTCACCCTCAGCCCAAGGGAAAGCCGCGGGAACCGGCTCTGAAGACATCCCAACGGTGTCTTGAACTTTGCCGTCGACCCAGGAGCGACGGATGCACCATGCATCAGACGACGAACTGGAGGCAGATATCTTAGATTGAACGAGAAGAAAGGTGTGCGCCAGGAAAAGAAAGAAACGGTTTGAAGAAAGAAAGTTCTGAGATTTGCTCTGAAAATAGAATAAATCTGTGGAACTGCGAGTTTCCCGATTTTATAGAGGAAGAAAAAACCGCAGAGGCATGCGAGATAAATTGTGTTGGTCGGAAAAAGTCAAAAGTCAGTGGAGAAATGATAATTAGTCTCTCGAGCCATGCATGGGAAGTAACGCGTATTTAATGCAAAAAAGAGAAAAGGAGCCGGCCATAGCAGAAAAAACAATCGGCAGTCCTCAGGGGAGTGGTGCACGCTGCGTGAGGTGACGCATTGTGGTTGCAGCCACCAGAGGCTCGCCACATGGATTGCACTCACCGAACTTCGAAGATTTATGCGGGATCACCTGAATTGGAACCACCAATCTAACCGAAGGTCTTCTGAAGATCAGTTGACAAACGATCGCGACGGTATAAACTTTGTATCCCAGGTACGCTACCCGGGAGAAGCTGTCATCAGAAGGGGCATAGCCGTGCCCGTGGGTCAAACATAACCATCGGGGCCGCGCAAACCCTATGATGGGTTTTATGGTACCCATGACCGTGGCTGAAATGCGACTGCCCCTAGCAAAGCACCGACCACTAAGGACCTCCTAGCTAGCTTGCTTTGTTGCTTGACTTCATACATGTTCGATTTCTTGATTGCTTGATTTGATGATTGCTTGACTTCACGCATGTTTGATTTCATGATTGCTTGATTTCTTGCCCATTCGATCACTTGATTCCCTGCTTGCACGAATATTTCTTCTCCTCGGTAGTGTCAATAATCTCCCTGGAATCCCCTTTTATCGGTGTGCTCCCCCGCAGACTCGCCCGTCCTCCGGGACACCATTCCTCAAAGAATCCATGACTCCAGTCTAACAAGCCCTCGTGGCTTGCCCCGTGCCGGCTTCTCCCTGCGGACCGTGCACACCCTGAGTATGCTCCCTTGCGGACCTACTCGCCCCCTCAGGGCAGGACCTCCTTGGGATCCTATGGCTCAGGCCTCTCAGACCTCCGGGTCTTCTCCGCCAGTCCCCACCAAAGGGCCGCACGACAAACCAGTGTGCTCCTCACCAGGACATGCTTGCCACTCAGGCACAACAGGAATTGAGGTCGCCAACTCGCAGGCTTTCTCTTCCTGATAACTTACCGACCTCTTTCCCTCCGGGATACGTCACAAGCACGTTCTCTAAAACACATCAATTTTTGCGTAAGCACAACGCGAAGACTGTCCAGGCAGTAAGGGAGTAGAGGTTACACCCTCGGGAAACGCCCTACTCCACACCAGCTGCATTCGAGTAGCGACTCCCCCTTGCGTTAGCGCTCCGCGACGCAGGGAACATCTATTCATCTATACAACGACACCACCTCTGGTCCTTGGACCGGTGTCTCAGCCCGCGTCGATGATTTATGCCGATTCCCACTATCGCACAAGGTTATAACCCCGCTCATGACCTCAATGAACGGGGGCAAGACGGCTTCTCGTATAGTGTCTCACGAAGAGAAAAGTAAAATCCCTCCGGGGAGATGGTCACCAGTGGCCAAAGCTAACGGTTCCCCCCGGGAACGCATATCCCCCTACCCTGAGCAAGCGTCGTACTCCCTCGGATGCACGCCTCAGTCAGAATAGGACCCTATTATTCTAAAAACTCCCCAGGTCGAACGGCGTACTCCACCGGATGCGTAACGTAGATTGGGTGTCCCTCTATATGTATTTAGTCTGACCGTCTCACGGTCCGTTTCCTCCAGAAGCGTAATTTCTTCGATCAGTAACGTACTCCTTCGGATGCGAAAAAAATCAAAGTTGACACCTACTAAGAGCTGTGTCGCAGCTCGCTTCCGCGGAAGTAAAATTCCCTCGACCAATAATGTGCTCCTCTGGAAAAAACGAATAAGGTCAGGGTTGAGAGTCTGTTTCGGACTACTCTTTCGGCCAAGGGTGCCTTCCGTCGTGGAACACGCCAATGTCGGAGTCGATACCCTACTTAACTTCTCCAGAAGTCCGGACCATCCAGCTAGAACCGCATTCCCCCAGGATGCGTGGCACGACACTGATGAGTCCCTAAGTCTCATGTTATGATTTAGAACCTAGCTTCACCCATACCAGTATTGTACCCCTCGCAGTAGTGGCAAGGCGCCGCGTAAATCTGGCTCGTAAGCAGCATAAGATCTAGGGAACCAGATAACCGTGCTCGTTTTACAGGGAATTGATGAAGGTTCGACTCCCCGACTCATCCATGGATAAGCCGAGAAGTCAGAGGCAACTGTTGAGGCCATCTCCCGACGTCCGAGATAGTATTCCCGATCATGCAGCAAGATCTCGGGTGGACTCCACGTTCCTTCCGGGTGTTTGCCGACCAGGTTAAGTTATCCTCGACTTGGAACCCCGCTTTTATATCCGCTGCATCCCCTTTTTCATAAGTAGGAATCCCTCTTGAAACACCCTAAACCAAACAGGAGTCTCGATCCCCGGACGAAGCCCCTAACGACTAACCCGTAGAAAATTCTCCCCCGAGCATCTGTTCCCGGTATGATGCTCACTAACTTGGGCGTCAGAGAACCTTCAGGAGGTAAACCCTTTTTCGGTCCTCTCCGAAGGCTCGCCTGACGCCTGTTTGAGTGCTTGCAGGGTCGAATACCCTAAAAGTCTCGCCGCCTCGCGAACGGAGGACTTTCGCCCCAGAACAACGATTCGCCGTCTTTTCCTTTAGGGGACGGAACTCGAAGACCCAATTTCATTCTTACAAATTATAACCCCCACGTGACATCCCAAAATTTGCTTCCAAACAACTACAAACATTCAACCTAATAACAAATTAATTTTAAAAAATTAATAAAATTATATTACCCAATAATATTACAATTAAAATAAATATAAATTTAGATTAAGTTCTTAAATTGTATAACACCATGTTAATTTTATTAAGATTTGTGTATTTTAAAAAAAAATGTATGGCTTAAATTTGGGATGACGCAGATGATTGAGAGTGGAGGACTGAGACACACTGGAATCCACAAACCCTAATATACCCTCCCATTTTCTGTTCGAGTTCCACATATACCTCCACCGAATCTCTTTGTCGGAATGTCGCCGCCGGTGAATCAGAGTAGCCTGACGAACATGCGAGATTATCGTTTATCTCTTTAAAAAATTATCCGAAAATTAATAAAGTATTTCTTACTTGGCAAAAATTATAGTCTCTGATTTTCGATCTTAATATCAGACAGAACTCTCGATTTCACACCATCCCCTTTCTTACGCTCCTCTTTCATTTAGGGTTTGTTGAATTCACGCGTTATTCTCCATCTCCAACTCGCGACTAGAGAAGTTATTTCGTCGCGGCCGCAGGTAAGATTCTCGAATCCGGAGGCCGGGGGGTTTTGTGGGGAGAGTGGGATGAGAGGAGAAGAGGATGAAGACGAGGAGGGTGTTTGCACCGGCTCGATCAGCAACTTAACACATCATATCCCTCACGAGATTGCCGGCTAAATCTCTCAAGAGGTTCCAATGTGTATCCAAGGAATGGTTGTCCACAATCCGCGACCAACGATTCACGGATTCGTTCAGCTCGCTGTCCCGAACCCGGCCACGAATTCTAGCCGCTGTTCGTGGCGATGAGAACCGCGTGGTCCTCTTATCGTCTTCCCACGACGAAACAGAGAGATCCACGACCTGTTTGCCTACCAATCTCCAAATGCCAATATCCGGTTGGCACTTATCTTACCCTTTTCGTCTTACCTCTTTGCACACCACCCTCCAGATGAAGGTGCCCTGTTTGCCCGTGGTGGACCGTGTTCATCTCTCTTTGCGTCCATTGATTGTTAGGTCTGTTAGAGCATGTGTAATGGGAGAAACTCTAATGGGATCTTAGTTATTATTTAATTATAATTTTTTTGTTAAGAATTTTTGTTAAAATAATTTTATTTTCTATGTTCCAATGGTAGAATTTTATTTAGAGGTTCTTAAAAAAAAGCAGAGAAAAAAAACAGAATCATCGACACAAATCAAAGATTAAAAGAAATGATTACAGAAGTCTTAAACATTAGGACCATTTCAAATGAGCTTAGGAACTAAAGCATAATGAAAACAGGAAGGAAACTCGAACTAAACTGATCATGTCCTGCAGTTTCACTAGATTTAAAGTTAACTTCTAAAAGCACCAAAGTATCGATGTAAAAGAGATATGAAAAGATGAGGAAAAACATACATTGTTGATGTAGAAATTAATGTCTGCATTGGAGACGATCCTCCCATCAGAGTCAACTGAGTGAGTCTTGTGCTTGTATGTTAACAATATGGTCCTGCAATATTATAAATTTAAAGATGTCAATGTAGGTGATGAATTTGGGGCACGCATAGGAGAAGAGCTCGTCATAAACACCAAATGCTTCATCATCGTACCTCTGCATCCTCAACATCTTATCGCCATAGTTCTCTCGCAATGGAGAGTTGACAGACTCATCAACAAGTTTTGTTTGAGGACAGAGCGAGAGGCAAACCGCAAGTGCTTGCAAGAAGTTAACCTGATACAACAAGTAACCCCATAAACGCATCAAACAAAGTCACAAAAGAACATAGCTTAGGATTTATCGATTTATAGAAACAACAGAACTGACGACTCTTGATAAGATGCAACAAAGAAACAATGGATTCTCAAAGATTGCTCCACTTTTAAGCCTACCACACAACTACACAAGTTTCTCATGAAAATCGATTAAACCCAAACTTGAGTAAAAATCACGAGTCGTATCCAAAATTGAAGAGGGCCCAAACACAATAACTCTCATAAACATTCAAAAACGAGAGAGAGAATAAGCAACAGAACGATGATCATGCAAACAGCAAACAAAATTGATATTCTCATTGGATTTCCATTTTCACCTTGATGTGAAGCGTGCCTTCACCGAACTCGTTAGCGGACCTTTCCACTTGACGGCATCGTTCCCTTCAAGCACAACATTTTTCTGCTTCTCATATTGTTTATCGGAGAGATTGTGATGAACATCGACCGGAATCGCAGAAAGATTAGAGGGAGAGAAAGAGAAGACATCGATTCAAAGCCGATTCAAAGCAGAATCCATTGAATTCATTGAATCGCATCGGAGAAGAAGGCAGAAGGCGAGAAAGGACATAGATTGATTCCGTAAAAAGAAAAAGTGTTGGATTCTGGATCTCTTTCCAATCAAGAATAGACACGTCACAGGTAAAATCCGGCTCTTAAATAGCTTAATGAAGAGTCGATTCTTCTCTTTTTATTTAATTTTCAGTTGATTAAATACAATATTTTGTTAAGAATCATACTTAAGATCTAGCCTTGCACATGATCTTACATCCTTCAGATCCAGGCCGGTTCACAATATGTAACCCTAGCACTAGACAGGTGATAACACTGCCAGAAGCTTCTAGTGGTAGAAGGGAGAGCGTGTATATGTGCTTGGGATATGATCCCGTGGGTAATGAATACAAAGCATTGTGTAGCACGGCTGCGCGGTGAACAATGTCAAGAGCACAAGGTTTTAACACTCGGAGGAGGACTTTCGTGGAGAGACGTCAAAGGTACATCAAAAATCATGTCTTATAACGTTGTAACGAACTGAATATGCATCAATGGGATTGTGTATTACGGTGGTTGGAAAATCCGGGGAGAAGAAGCGAAGAAGAGACGGTATATTTTTTGGTTTGACGTTAGAGGTGAGACGATGGGTGGTATCAGCACTTTTCCGCCGGTCGTAATTCGCGGATCAGTGATCAACTACAATGGGTTGTTAGCCTCGGCGTATCCACTTAAAGTTAAACCTCTGGGAAGTTTTCAAATTTGGATTCTGGAGTTGGACAAACGTAGATGGTTACAGACAATATTCAATGCTCTCCCTATCTTGTCGGATTTGTCAGGGGAAATTCAGTTAAACTTGTTAGGCATGAACAAAGCCAACGATATCATCTTAGGTCCGCTGAAGTTGCCTCCCAAAGGTGAACCGTTGTATATTTACTACTATAACAAACACATGACCAAGAACTTTATTAGAAGAGTTGAGCTTGAAGGATTTGAAGAGTTTGGGTGCAATCATACAAGTGATGAGCAATGTGTTTGTCAATTTCTTTTGTCACAGGAACACTTTGAAAGCCTTGTCTGCTTATAACGTGTTTCATGTATTCTCTTTATCTTTTTAATTTAGGAATGATTGTGACACAAATTTAGGAAACTTCTTCTCCAAGTAATTATCTGATTATTAATGTTTCTTTAGTTAGTGTTTCTTATTATCTCTATTAATTATTTTGAAAACATCACTCTAATCTAATTGATAAGAATCTACCAAATACTGTTGCCTACTTGATAGATCGAGGATTGTGAAAAAGCAACGGATAATATTACCTTTAATAAATCTTTAGAGAACTAAAAATTAAATGGCATTTCATTTAACTATAGATAAAACACATGTTTTCTGTCTTTAAATATAGATGTACATTTGTTTTGCCTTTTTCTATTATTGCCAACAAAATATTATTTACATATATATGTTGTGTTTAGTCGATAGATTCATATACATATTTTCACGATACTGTAAGCGAAAAAAGAATGGAAATTACATACCATAGGAGTTTGTTTGCATACATCAAATTTGGTGACAAGTATAATAATATTCGATACAACAAATAATTGCACTGAAGTGAACATAACGCTAGAAGAGCTCTCAACGGATCGATCAACGAACTAAGAGTCGAAGAGAAAAAGTTACTGAAGAAGATGCGGTTGAGAGTTCTTCTTCTTCAAAAGCGTATCCTTTATTTGGGATCGAAACACAAACATGAACCATTGTACATTTTCTACTACAACAAACTAAGAGGCAATGATTGAAGGATGTAATTTCAATGATCTTAGTTTAATTGTATTATTGTATAGATGTAGTAGTTTAGGAAACTTCTTCTCCAATCAGTTATATGATTATTAATGAGCAACCACGAATCTGTGGGAAGAGGAGACTATTTTTCTATGACTAACAATTCTAAGAAACGTCTCAAGCATTCAAAGAGAAACTTCGAGTTTACAGGGACAAACGTGTGGATATCTTAAGATAAATGTATAGAATCGGATTTTCAGCTTAAAAATAGTCTCCAGTTAATATATGGTTTCATTTTTGATACATGTATAAGATTTTCCTGTCGGAGACACGGAGTGATAGTACTCCGACTGTTACATTTCACTTGTATAATGATTTGAGGCTTTATGACAAGATATGAATAGAACGGCTTGCCTTTTATTAGATGACATATGAGAGTATATATACAAGCAAGAGAAAAAAAAACCCTAAGATTATCAACCAAATAAGGCAATATGTATACAATATAGAATATATACAAATCTATCGTCTAATACTCCCCCTTTAAGTTGGCGCATGGAGATCACGAATGCCCAACTTGCCGCGAAGATACTCGAATGCTTGTATACCAAGAGCTTTGGTGAATATGTCAGCTTTCTGTTCTGATGTATGAACGTAGGAAGTAACAAGTGCACCCTTAACGATCTCGTCCCGTACGTAGTGACAATCTGACTCAATGTGTTTGGTGCGCTCGTGAAACACGGGATTGACTGCGATGTGAAGCGCTGCTTGGTTATCACAAAACATCTCCATGGGTTGATCCGGTGGTTCACCAAAACCAGAAAGAAGCTCACGTATCCATTTGAGCTCCGAGCATGTGAATGACATAGCTCGATACTCTGCCTCGACTGAAGATTTAGACACCACATCTTGTTTCTTCGTCTTCCAAGATATCGCGGAATCACCAACCAGAACGACAAAACCGCTCACAGATGTCCTGTCATCGGACATGAAGCCCACTCGGAATCGCAATATGTCGAGATGCTCAAATCACTATTTGCTGTATACATCAGTCCTTGGCCGGGATGGCCTTTCAGATATCGCATAACGCGCAATGCAGCATACCAATGTTTTAACCGAGGTTGATGCAAGAACTGAGCTAGAAGATGCACAACTTAAGTGAGCTCAGGTCGCGTAAGTGTCAAGTAAACCAATCTTCCTACCAAAATGTGATATTGGTAGAGTATCAAAGAATGCACCTTCATCAACTGCAAGTTTATGATTCTCAACAAGGGGGGTAGCGACAGGTCTTCCCCCTAATAATCCAACTTCATTAATAATATCTAACGCATACTTTCTTTAAGAAAAATATATACTTTCTGGAGATCATGCCACCTCAATCCCTAGAAAGTATTTCAAAGCACCCATATCTTTCATATGAAAGCATTGGCTCAAGTAACCTTTGAACCTAGAAATCGCATCATCATCATTTCCACCAATAAGCAAATCATCAACATATACAATCACGTACAAATGCATGGTTCCTCGTGTTAGGATGAACAACGAGTAATCCTTGTATGATTGTACAAATCCATATCCAAGGAGTGCATTGGTAAGCTTTGAAAACCAACAACGAGGCGCTTGTTTCAAGCCATATAGAGATTTCCGCAGCTTACATACCTTGTTCAGTGCTGATCCGCGAAACCCTGGGGGAAGTTTCATGTAAACTTCATCCTCCAAATAACCGTGTAAAAATGTGTTGTAAACATCCATTTGATGAACAGCCCACTTCTTAACCGCTGATACCTTAAGAAACATACGTACCGTAGTCATTTTAACAACTGGGGCAAACGTTTCTTTGTAATCTCGTCCCTCCTTTTGTCGATTCCCAAGAGCTACGAGACGAGCTTTGTGACGCTCAATCGTACCATCAGAGTTAAACTTCAGTTTAAACACCCAACGACATCCAATAGCGGTTTTTCCTGGTGGCAAATCCTCAATATCCCACGTGTGTTGTTCCTCTAAAGCTCCGATCTCATGTGACACTGTATCTCTCCATTCTTTGAGTTTCATTGCCTCTACAAACGTTTCCGGTTCGTAACCAGCAGTAACCGCAGCGAGAAAGGCAACATGCGAGGCTGAAAAACGATCACATGAGACATAATTGGAGATAGGGTAAGTGACCGTACCAGAAGATGCTTGAGGGGCAGAAGAGTGCGAGGGGCTTTCAGTGGTCTGAGCCGAGTAAACAACATAACCTTTCAAACGAGTGGATGGCATACGTTCTCGTTGACTTTTACGTAGTTCAGATGGAGCAAGAGTTGTTACCGGTAGAGTGGGGGTGATTGTTGTGTCCGGTACCGAAGGTACATCATTCTCCTCTGAACTCCCCCTGACAACTGCAGATCCACCCACCGGAGTAATACAATTTTCCTCTGAACTCCTCCTTACGAGTAAAGATCCATCCACCGGAGTGACCATCTGGCGATACTCCAAGAAATCATCATCAGAAAACAAAACTGTATCTGGAAACGAAGGAGGCGATACTCTGCTATCATTTTCAATCGAGGAAAATGGGAACACGTTCTCGTGAAATATCACATCCCGTGAGACAAAGAAATCATTTGTTCAAGATCATACATTCTCCAACCCTTCTTCCATAAGGATATACGACAAACACGCATCTTCTACTTTTCTCTCCAAATTTATCTTTTTCATGAGAATTTTTATGAACATATCCCAAGCAACCAAAAACCTTAGGACTCTCAAAGGAAGAAGTTTTACCAAAGAGAAGCTCATAAGGAGTTTTACCTTCCAACGCTGGCGTAGGAGTTCGATTAATCAGATGACCAGCAGCAAGAACACACTCACCCCAAAAACGTACTGGTAACGATGCTTGGAACATCAAAGATCGAGCCACATTAAGAATATGCCGATGTTTACATTCCACTCTAGTATTTTGTTGCAGAGTGTTTACACATACGTGTGATGAATGATTCCTTCCCTTTCGAAATAGCTCTTCATACAAGTGAATTCTGTTTCATTATCACTCCTTACAACTTGTACCTTTAAGTCAAATTGACGTGTTACCATGGCACACAATTTCTGCAAAACTTCAGACACTTCACGTTTTTCAAGAAACAAATATATCCAAACCGTTTTTGAATAGTCATCAACGATTGTAAGAAAATAAACAGCCCGGATGAAGAAGGCGTTCGATAAGCACCCCAAAGATCACAATGGATTAAATCAAATGCACCAACTGCTTTATTAATACTCTCAGGAAAAACATCACGAGTTTGTTTTGCTCGATAACAAATATCACAACCTCCATCAGTTGCAACATGTTTGCCAAGATCAATAAAACTAGATAAAAGAGATAAAACACGACTAGAAGGATGGCCTAAACGACGATGCCACAAATCCCGTTGTCCATTGCTTATCGCTTTATTCGCTTGACCATCAAAAACACCCTTAAACTTGTAAACCCCATCGCACACTTCACCCGCACCAATCAGCATCTTCGAGGTAGGGTCCTGCAAAACACACAAATCCTCAGTAAAACTCATAACTCCCTTCGTAGCTTTTAGCAATTTTGCTACCGAGAGGAGAGAACATGTCAATTCTGGTGAATATAAAACATCAGATAACCACAAGTCACCACCCAAACATAATCGACCTTGCTTAGTAGTCAAGGCTCTATCACCATCTGGTAAGCGAATAGAACAAAGAACAATATCGACAAGGTCTTGTAGAAAATAAAGTTCCGAAGTCATATGATGCGATACACCATTATCAACTATAAATTCTCTCTTACCAGAAAGTTTTTCATTGCACTCTGTTCTCTTCTGGTTGTTCAAAAAACCAATCAACGCAGTCCATTGATCATCACTCAATTGGGGCAGAGATCCACAATCAAACTCTACCTCACGCCTAGATGTTGTAACTGCTGCAGCAACCAGCTGTTGCACCTGAGCAGCATTCGCGTAACCACCGGTTTCAGACGCCATGTTAGCACGTGCACCCGTACCAGTCCCACGGCCTCTGCCGGAACTCCCTGCAACACCACCGCCTCTACCAGATCGACCTCTTGCACCAAAGTTTCTCCCCCTTTCGCCCCATCGTTCCGGATATCCGTTTAGTTGAAAGCAATCCGAAATATCATGTCCATATTTTCCACAATGCGAGCATGTCACGTCTTTGTTGCGAGACTGAAAGCCCCCTGATTTTTCTCGGTTTCCATATTGACCTGAAAAACCAACAGCTTCTGTCCTTTCTTCTTTGTTCTGAGCGATGCCTTGCT